CTCTAACCCAGACTGTGGATTATTACCGAAGTGTCCTTTAATAGTGAGGAGTAGGGGAATTCTCTAGTTCACCTGTTGGGAAACTGTAAGAGGCAGAGAATTGTCTTGCTTTGTGGGACAGAAGTTTTTTTGCACTGCACTGTACTGCTTCTCTAACTGATTCTACTCAGAGCCTCTCAATAGTTATAATCATGCAGTAAGTATTTAAAGCCTTTTACATCAAGTTCTTTCAGTTACATTCACTTATTTAGTAAATAGTTATTATCTAGTTCACGTCAGACTGCCTTCATGGCATCTGGATACAAAGATAAAACTTGGTTTCTGGCTTTGAGAAACTCAATTATGTGAAGGGAAAAATACATATATGTATTTATACATATACATATATGTATAAACAAATAAATCCAGTGAGATCCAGAGCCTAGCTCAGTGCCTGAGTTTGCACAGCTGTGTATAGACTTGAATGCCTGCTGTCAGTCGCTACGGAAGCACAGAGGCATGAGCCGGTCGAGCTGCCCACAAGCCAAAGATGATTCCTTAGAAGGCTGGCAGTGGAATCTCAAAGATGAGTTGTGGTTTGCCAGGTGTGAAGAGCAAAGTTATTTAGAGGCGTGGGGACAAGCACATGCTTTGCAAGGAGAGGCCAAAGCTCACGATGCACTTGGGGAACACTTGGTTTGGCTGGTGGATGAGGCCCAGGCTCGGTATAAAAATGACTTGGCCCTGTGTCTTAGGGAAGGCATTATTATCTTTATTTCAGTGGAAGAAACAGAGGAGGTTTTTTTGTTTTTATAAAAATTGAAGATCCTTTAAGTGACTCATATCAAATCCAAAAGCCATTTTGTGCAGCTCAGAAAAATATCCTGGTCATTAAGGGATTGTAGGAGACAGATGCAGTTTATACACCAAATTGCAACCAGGGAAAAAGCAATTTAACTGATTTTATTTGGTCCATATTTCATACTGATTTGAATCTCATTATTTTGCTGGGTTATTTATTCCCAATATAACTCAAATGCTAAGCTAAAAAAAAAAAATATGGGGAATTGGACTTCATTCAAAAAAGAGAATATAGCTCTTTCCTAAAAATAGTTCTTTACTTGAGTGGGCACTCATTTGATTCATCTTTTTATTTAAAGCACCTAATACAGTGCTACCTACAATAGGATATAATTCATGAAAATGAGGTATGGCATTGAATACAATATAATAGAATCATTACTGAAGTATATGTATTACCTGTCTGATGATCTCCTAAAGGAGATCTCCTACTCTACAAGCTTATTTTTATACAAATTGCAGTGTGGCAAAGAGACCCAGGAGTAGTTGGAGATGTGCAGCTATGCTCCTCATGTCAGCTCTCCATGTCTACACTGGGTGACAGGACATGGGAGCAGATGAGACAAGCTGTCACTCACCCACACTGCCCTTTGAAGAAAGGCCATAGGGGGAAAAAGGTGCCGCAAATGGGCTGTGAAGTTTACATACACTGCCCACTGTTAAACAGATTACGTCTAATGAAGTGTCTAATGCTCAGGCCATATCAACCTAATCCTTGGTGGCAGTTCATCCCTCAACTGCCAGAAAACACCGCCCTCTGGCCCTCTCTCGCCACTCTGGCCGCCAAGCACAGGGAGGTGCCCAGTCTTAATAAACCAAGACAGTGTGTGATCTGACATGCAAATGTAGGTCATTGCATATGTAAATGTGTGATTACAAACCTGCATGCCAAAACACATTAGTGAGACTTTGCTCTCAGCATGCGGTTGTCACACTGTCTTAGCAGTTCACGCTAATATTTGTCAGTTATTGTGTAGACAGAAGATGGAATTCCCAGTCAAATTTAAAGTATATGGATTGTATGATAGTGTTCCTAATGATGAAGTTGTATTTTACTGTTGAGATTGGCAAGTTGTCATCAGGAGAAAAAATGGTATGTACATATATAGCAGAAGAAGGAGTTCTTTCTTTGATGTTGCAGACTATCCTAGTGTGTCAATATTTAAAGAAAAAATTTCTTAGGAAAGCATAGCAGTTAAAAAAAATCTCTCCTCTTTAAATTAAACTTTTATTTACTGTTAAAAAACTAAGAAAAGTTGCTACTATCTATTGACTGTATCTAAGAAGTGGTACTTTAAGTTTCCTTTCTTAAATAGGTACCGTGTTGTCACAGTGGCACTTAATTACAAATTAATCTCAGTGACTACAAAAAGAAATCTTATAAATGAACAGCATGTCTGGTTGTCTCCCTGTATTTGATAATTTAATTTTTCTTATTATGGTGTATATTTTTGTTTTCATTCTTAACCTGTTTTTATTTCTGCTTTTTAAAATCAAAAGATCTGAAATTGAAAATATTTATGAATCATTATGTAGGATCCCATAATATTGGATCATATTGTAGATGATTTTGTTTAGTAAGCATGGTAGGGTAGCAAAGACTATACTTGGGAATCAACTAGACATAGGTTTGGTTTGATGACATGTATAGGATTGTCATGAGAATTGAATTAGATGGCATATAAAGTCCTAATACATGGGAATTGTTAAGTTGTAGGTACGAAAATGGAACCTACTATTATTATAGAAGGTAGTTGCTACTGTTCTTCTGTTATACCAGTTATTGTATTATATTTATGAAATGAATTTGTGAAATTTCTTGTATTCTGGTTATTTTGCATGTATTAAAGGAAGAATGGTATTTTTCTTGACAATAATTTGGACTTCCAGAAGAAAGAAAATCAGTGTACAGCAACAGAAATCATTGCTACTTTTTTTCTCTTTTTGTAAAACATTGTATTTGAATTACAGTGAAACTTTAGCAGGATTTTAGAGTTTTTGCTAGCATGATAGATGTAGTAAAATCAACAATAATGAAAGTATTGGGGTTGATGGAAAGTACTACCCCTATGTCAAAATAGCCTTCTGCATAAGTCATGGGGTCGTCAGTCTTAACAGAGGTTTATTTGAAGGACTAAGTTCAAGTTCAATTTAGTGTGTTTACCAACTAGTGCTGTCTTTGATTGCATTAATAGGCATTTAATGTTCATTCTCATTAGAGGGTGCACTAGTCAGACCCCACAAGAATGTCATGTGTACTCCAAGATGGCTCAGAGAATAGAGGAGGTCCAGAAGGATGTGAAGAGAATGATGAAGACTTGGAAGCATGTCCTTACCAATAATCCAGGGACCTCGAAAAGCCTATGCCTATTTAGCCAAAAAAGGGAAGATATAAGGGCATTTGATAACTAGACTCTTTTGTTATAGGTTATATAGGTGGAGGTGCTGGCATAGATCATGAGTGTCCTGAGGAGCCTAAAAGGCAGTGTTTGTTGGGTACGTGTTGTAACTTCAGCAACAGACAGTGGCTGACTGTAGTGGATATTCAGTTAATGTTTACCCTGTGACTGACTTAATGACTGAAAGAGTCCGTGAATAAACAAATAAACAAAAGAACTAGTAAATGGATAAAATGTATAAGGAGTTGGGCTTTGTCTCAAAATAGGAATGACAATTGTGCTCCCTTCCCAATACCCTGTAATTAATTCTCTCATAGCAGTTAAGAGCCTCTTCCATATATTTGGGTAAGCTCTTTGAGAGCAGAAAACATTTCTGGTTCATCTCTATTGTCCTAGCAGCTAGTACACAGTAAGTACTAAAAAGTGTTAGTTAAAAAAGGTGACTTTTTTTTCATGAGTAACAGCAAAATATTGTTTAAAAATGTAATTATGGGGGTGCCTGGGTGGCTCAGTCGGTTAAGCGTCTGCCTTCGGCTCAGGTCATGATCCCAGGGTCCTGGGATTGAGTCCCACATCGGGCTTCTTCCTCAGCGGGGAGCCTGCTTCTCCCTCTGCCTGCTGCTCCCCCTGCTTGTGGGATCTCTCTCTGTCAAATAAATAAAATCTTTTAAATTAAAAAAATATAATTATGTACTAAGTGAAAGAAGCTAATCTGAAAAGGCCACAGACTGAATGACTTCCACTATATGACATTCTGGAAAAAGCAAAGCTATGGAGACTGTAAAAAAGGATCAGTTGCTGCCCGGAAGGTGTGTGTGGGGGTGTTAACTTGGGGAGGGAGGGATGAATAGGAGATGCAGAGAGGATTTTAGGGCGCTGAATATACACTGTATGATCCTATAATGATGGATATATGTCATTTATACATTTGTCCAAAGCCATAGAATGTACAACACCAAGGGTGAACCCTAATGTAAAGCGAGGAACTTTGGGTGATAATGATGTGTCAGTCAGTGTAGGTTCATGAATTGTAACAAAAGTACCATTATGGTGGGGGATGGGGCAAGCCATGCATATATGGGGCAAGGGCTTCCTCACAGTTTTGCTGGAACCCAGCACTGCTCTAAAAAAATAAGGCCTTAAAAAAAAAATAACGATGTGGTAGTATATTCCCTGCCACTGGAAATGTTCTTTGTAGAAGTTAAATAACTCTCAAGAAGTTCAGAAGATTTTCATACATTAGTTGGCAGGTTGGACTGTGTGTGTGTGTGTGTGTGTGTGTGTGTACACACATTCTATTTCAAGTTAAAGATTCTTTGAAAAAGAAAACAAATATCAAAGGAGTACTAGATTGAGTGGGAAAAGTTTATGTTCTATGAAGATAATTTTATAGAGTTCCTATCTAAAATTTCAAAGTCTTCCTCATTCCCTGACATTTCATGTCCTTCTTCCTTGATTTATTTTATTTTTAGCCCTTCCTAGCTCACATACTGTATATATATTTTTCATGTTTACCCTGTTTGTTATTTTTCTTCCCTGCCAGAATTTTTCTTTTGAGGGTAGGGATTATCATCTGTTTAGTTTGCTACTCTATTCCCAGTGTATAGAACAGTGCCTAGCATGAATGGCTCAATATAATATTTGTTAAATAGAATAGATGTCTGCAGGCTTACCATAGGTATCACCTACTTATGTGAAAACAATCAGTGATTGTGTGAATATTGTGTGATTGAAAACTTATTTTGACTTTTTTAATTACAGAAGGCTTTACGACCGGATATGGGCTATAATACATTAGCCAACTTTCGAATAGAAAAGAAAATTGGTCGCGGGCAATTTAGTGAAGTTTATAGAGCAGCCTGTCTCTTGGATGGAGTACCAGTAGCTTTAAAAAAAGTGCAGGTAAGATGATTTTAATTATGTAAATCAATGTAAAATTATACCATATGAATAATAGAGGAAAGTATGTCCTGAATGATTAGATAATGACAGTCTTAAGTTGAGAATGAATAAAAATTAGAAAGAAATAATAGAAAGGAATAAAAATTATACTTTAAAAGCTTGGATTGAGTGTAGTACACAGTGGAAATTAGTTTTTAATTTTAATATTACTTCTAGGCTTTAAAAATTTAGCTGGTTTTGTTCACCCAGATTTAGTAGTGACTGGAATGATCCTAGAAAAGTGTTTACAACTCTAGATTTTAAGAGGCAGATTTGAGTTCTCACCACTTGCTCCTCACTAGACAGGTAACTCTCAGCTTCAGCTATAGGTCTCACAATAGGAAAATAGATTTTACAAAATGTATTGCCTAGAGTTAGTAAGTGGCAGTCAAGGTTAGGATGGGTTATTAAATTAATGTGGAGAACCACACTGGCAATAAATGAAGGAACAATGAAGTTAATTTTATTTATTGGAAAATTAAAGAAAGAATGAAGTCGATTGATTAAATCAGAGGATTGATGACCTATTTGAAGTTTCCATCTTGTTTTTGTATCATTCTAGAATCAGCTTTGCTCTCCAATCCTGACTTTTCTTTTGTTTCCCTCAGATTCATTTATCTTATTCTAGCTCCTCTTACCAAGTCCTACCCTAACCCTAGTGGACTAGTCCCACTGAGCTACCCTGCAGTGTACTTGCAACAGCCCTGAAAGTTTAATTTGCCCTAGTGAGTCTAGAAAGTCTAATTTCACTTGCCCCCTGGTCTAGAAAGTACTTGTTTTTCTGTCTCAGAGTATGTTTGACATCACACAGTTTTGCTTCCCGTTTTTCAGATAAGGTAGTTATTGTTCACACCTGCCCACAGACTTCCTATTTTACTCTGTAACCCTGATATCATTTCTCTGTAGTGACCTGTGAGACCAAAGTTCCCTCAATTTTTTTTTTTGTGACTTCTCAAAGGATCAGTGTACTTGCAATAGCCATTACAGAGATGGACAGTTTTCACTTACCTTTTTAAGGAAATATTAAATGTTTATAAAAGAAAAGACGTTATGGCCTCATATCCACCCCCCAGCTTAAGAAATAAAACATTAAAAAAATTTTTGATTTATATCTACCACTACCTTGCCTCAGAGGTAGCCATGTCTAAAATTCTGTGTTTAACATTCCTTTGCTTTTCTTTATAGTTTTCCCCACATCTGTGTAAATTTCTAAATATATTGTTTCCTTTGCATTTTGGAACTTTACATCAGTGTCATCACGTGATGGTGGATGTGGCTGTGTATTAACCTTTCCACTGCTGTATCGTATTCAGTTGCTCTTGTTACATGTTGCTTGCTGTTTGGATTGTTTATAAGTTGTTTACTATTATAAGCGGTATTGCTGTGCTAGTCTTATGTGTCTTGCAAGCATCTTATGTGACATGCAAGCATTTCTCTTTTGTCTGGGCCTAAGAATGGAAATGATGAGCCACAGGGGATGTGCATGGTTGGTTCGACAAGTTTAATAGCAAGTTATTTTCCATAGTTGCACCGGTTGACTTTCTCACCAGCAGCATATAAGAGTAGCAGTCTTCTCTCGTTTAATATGCCACTTACAGCTTGAGAAAATGTAATATAGAATGCAGATATTAATGTTCATGAAGCAGATGACTTTTGGAGGGATGATTCCCTTACAAAAGAACTCTGCTCCATTTTTAAAATGTATTTATGAAATTTCTCCTCTGCATTACTAGGCACTGAAGGGAATAAAAAGGAAGCTAGTCATATTATTCCTGCATTTGAGAGGAAAAAGAGTCTTTGTAGAACAATTAAATGTTAAGCCTTGTGGCATGGATTCCTGATTTAAATAGGAGTTTACAGAATGGAGATGTCAGTTTGAGCCTTTGATGGAATCGGAACATAGGCCAGGCTCTCAGTGTGAGACCAGATTCTGGAGAGCACTGAAACCAGGAACAGGAATTTGAAGAATAGGAAAGTAAGGATTCACTATGGATCCTCAAGTAGAGTAATAATCTTCAAAATTCATTCTTTTAAAAGTAAAATTACAAACCAAGCACACAGAATGGACCAGAAAGAAGTCAGCTGCTTATTGGCCACAGGTGGCGAATGCCAGAGGATAGATGGATTGAGAAATTACTTGGAGGTCTCCAGGCTTCTCAGCTTCCTTCTCCACCTTCCAACTGATTCTGAGTGTAGAGAAAGAGACAGGGCTCCACACCATCTGAGTTTTTCTTCCTTTTGATTGGAAATTTGAAAGGACATGAGTTAATTTGGGCAATCCTATTTCCATTCAGTATTAGATGCCCTTCTAACTGCTCCCATTTTGCACCGTGGTAAGCCTCAGATAACCGTCTCCTGCTGTGTGGAGTCAGTTTGTCCTCATGAATTAGACCGTTCTTCTCTGCTTTATAAACCGTTAATATTGTGGCATCTTCCAGTTTAAACGTAGCTTCTTTATAGAAAAGAGAGATGCTGTTGTAAAGATATTCATAGCTTATTTAATTAGGGAATGGTGCCTTAAACCTTTGTGAGGAGAATGTGTTTGCATTTCAGATATGTTACTGATTTTTGTGATGTATTACACTTGTGCTGAACAATAAATCCTGTGCTTCTTCCTTAAAAAAAAACTCTGTAGCTTAAAATGAAAACATTTAAAAATATTGTTAACCAGACTGTCTTCCTTTCTGAAGAACCTTAGCCCTTCTTCAAAAAATTCATAAAGAATCAAATACTGGATTTCCTCATGCATCTTGTTTCTTTTTTTTTTATAGGCACTTATTTTTTTTCTTTAGATTTTTATTGTTATGTTAATCATCATACATTACATCATTAGTTTTTGATGTAGTGTTCCATGATTCATTGTTTGTGCATAACACCCAGTGCTCCACGCAGAACGTGCCCTCTTTAATACCCATCACCAGGCTAACCCATCCCCCCACCCCCCTCCCCTCTGGAACCCTCAGTTTGTTTCTCAGAGTCCATAGTCTCTCATGGTTTGTCTTCCCCTTCTATTCCCCCCCCTTCATTTTTCCCTTCCTACTGCCTTTTTTTTTTTAATATATAACGTATTATTTGTTTCAGAGATACAGGTCTGTGATTGATCAGTCTTTCACAATTCACAGTGCTCACCATAGCACATACCTTCCCCAATGTCTATCACCCAGCCACCCCATCCCCCCCCCCCCTCCCCTCTAGAACCCTCAATTTGTTTTTCAGAGTCCATCCTCTCTCATGGTTCGTCTCCCCCTCCGACTTAGTCCCCTTCATTCTTCCCCTCCTGCTATCTTCTTTTTTTTTTTTTTCTTAACATATATTCATGCATCTTGTTTCTTGTCTGAAGATCTGTATTACTGTTCCTGGCTCTTCTGGAATCTTTCCTGAATGCTGTGCTTGGGTTCATCGGTTGAAGTGCTGCTTTTACAGTTCATTTGTCTGCTTACATATCATTAAAGAGATACCTTAGAATTACCATGCAGATTCCTCAGCTTAGTTTTCAAGGCATTTCTTGACTTTGTCCCACACCATCAAGTTTCACTTTTTCAAGACCTTTAAAAAAAAAAAACAAAAACAACAGTGTCCTAAGCTCTAGTGACTTTCCTATGGGTTTGCCTGTTAGCTGTGTGTGGAAAAAAGAGTGTGTGTCCTGAATGCATGATCTCATGAAGAGATCTGAGAGCCTATAGTATATAGCAACATTAACCAATCTTTTTGAAAATGTACCCACATCTCATCATGAGTCGTTTTCCAAAATTAAGATGGTTCCTTAACTGATGTGACATTTTTGAAATCCCCTGAACCACTTTTGCTTCTGTTTCTCCCTGTTGCCCTTCTTTGACGCTTCCCTTCTTACTGCTCATTTACTCATTCCACCTCGTGTTAATAATATGGATCACCTTATGTTCAGTGGTCAGTGTGGAAGGCTTTGGGAATACTAAGGTAAACAAGTAACAGGACTCATGGGATTCCACTACAAGTGCAACAGAGACACGTCTGAAATCACAAGATAGGCACTGGAATGAGAGCAGTCTCCAGGAACATGGGTGAGAGGGAGATTGGGATGTCTTCACAAAGGATGTGATATGGGTCTCAGAAGCTCAGTGCTTTGTGTTGGAAGACTGTCAAAGAATTGTTTTGATCTGGTACATGTAATCGCTATTTTCTTATGCTTAGTTCATTGATTAGAGCTATGTAATTAGCTATGTAATTGATTTTTATTTTATCAGTCTTATGACATGGTACTCTAATATGAGTTTTGGGTGTCACTGTGTCTCAGTTCTTTGATCTTTGTTACCCTCATTTTCTGATAGAAGGTGAAATATTTTGATCCTTAGTTTTCTTTGCCTAGTCTTAAGTTATATTTCCAGATAATACTGTTTTCCTATGGGACATTCATTATCAGAGACATTTATTGGAATGGAAAGTACTTTTGTATAGTACTAACAAAGATAAGGTGATAATGTATTTTGTTCAAATTCACCCTTTTGATACACAGGTTATCTCAAAACAACTTTCTGAAGGGACAAATATTCTTTGATGTTTATTCCTTTACTTATATTTGATTATTATAATAAAACATTCATCAAGAAAATCACTTTTTAAAGTATATTGAGTTTAACTTGCTTTTTTTTACATATGTTGATTTTAGTTTCTAGATTCTGCATGTATTCCTGTATTAGAAATTGAGATTGCATGCATTTAGAAATTTGTGAGCAATGATAGCTTCTTCCATAATGCATACAGATTAGAATACATTCATAATCTCTACAACTGTATGTCCAGTCTCTATTTTAGTGTTCACTGTGATTACTGAATTTATCCTGCAGTTTTTATCAGCTTCATTATTTAATCTCTACAGATTTCCTTTCCTTAGACCTTCCAATAGTTATTTGGACAAATGAATAGTAGGAAGCACTTGTAATAATAATCTATACATTATATATATATTTTTTTAATTGGAGAAT